TGTTAATCTAAAATACAGCCGAGTCCGAACCACGCACAAGACGGTAATGTCCAGTGTGACTGTGATGATTATGCCGGTTGTAAGGACTCATTTGTGCTCTGACTTTTTAACCTGTGGGAGCACAAGAGCTAAAGGACTGATTCAGCTGAACTGGTTATCTTCTGAGAACAATAGTCCGGGTGTGATGGACTTGCTCCTCTCCAGAGATTGGCAGTGATTGGACTGAAGGATGGCATGAGGAACCACCGAGGGCAGGCAGACAATCACTGAAGTATGAAGATCCATGGAGATGAAAGGAGACTTTTACCTACAGAGAGGTGAGAACTACCTAGCTGTAAAGGCACTCGCTTTTTATAACTGATGGAGGGAATTCAGAAGATACCTAACTCTACATATATTAATACTATATAGAACAAAACTAAAGAGGTGTCACAGTTAAGAAACTAGTTACCAAACTCTTCTGGCTTATTGACTAATCACTGAGTCACTGTATTGTTATGTACGTGGCAGTGTTGGCCAGACGGGCCCAGGCAGACTAGGTGATGGCCCACTGGAGGAAGGAACTGAGCTCCCGTGCCGGGGTGTATCGCTCACTGGGGTGGGAATGTGCAGTTTGACTGCAGGAAGAGTTGTGCACCGCTAGCCACAAAGGCTACAATAAATATGCATCTGTCTAAGCTTTAACAGCATCTTCTTTAATGCTGCCATCAATCAAAAGCATTTTCCTGTATAAACCCTTTGGAACCTTTGACGAGTAGATAACAAACAATTACCTCTCTCATTTAAAATCTAGCAAGAAAAACTGATATGATTTAATTGTGTTTTGAAAAATTATTGTAAGTGCTTTGGGTTTTGAACATTATTTTACTGTTAGTTTACTAAGATAATCACTTCTGAAATGTTAGGAAAAAAGGCAGAGACAAAGTTCTTTGCCCTGAAGGAGATTGCCATCTTGTGAAGAGAGAGACAATACGGTACAGCCGTGAATAACAAACAGCTTTACAAGGCAGCCTCCTATCTGCATGGTTATAAAAAACAAACAGCTTCTTCTCAATAAATTAGTTCTGTGGATTATTGACTTTGTGTTGCCTTTGAGAGGCTTTATATTAGACATTTATTTTTCAACCAAGCACTATACTAAAGAATAATAGCATAAGGTTTTATTGGTCGGGTTAACACTGTGGCGTGAACATCCTTAGAAATGTAAAAAGGCTGGTATGTCTTGAAGCACTTTTTATTCCATTAAACATTACAGGACCAGATTTTCAACAGGACCCAGCTGAGGTTTTTGAAATATTTTTTTGATTAAGTGATATATCTTTGGCATTAAGACCAGTTTTCTGTTGAGATGCCTAAGAGATGTAGATATGTGTCAAATGCACCTAGATACTTAGGTGCAACAATTGCTCCCAGTTATTTATGTAGAATTTGATGCTTAGCTCGTTTTGACAGCCCTGCAGAATGCCCACCAGCGTTGTTAGGCACTTCAATGTCTTCAAAAACCTGACTCACTTTTAGTAGACGTCAGAGGCGTCTTACTAACTTCAGCCAGACAATTCATTCATACTTTTGGGCACAAACGTAAGTACTTAGCTGGAAAGGGTGTCTGTGTTTTTCATTTCAGTTTTGTCATCATTCTCATTAAATATTTGCCTCACTCCTGTGGGTCAAGTGGTAATGTCTTTACATTTTACTCTGTGCATTTAACTCTTTGCAGGATAACATCTAGCTTTGACTATCAGCAAATTGAATTATGCAGTATGCTAAATAATGAACTAATCGGTTTCAAAGGTGTTGAACCGTCCTTAGCTACCTCACTTTTATATGCAAGTGATGTGACTACAAGGCTCCAATTAGCAGCAGAATTGGCACTTTTTATAGTAGCATAAATGAGAGAAAAACTGGATAACCTGGCTCGGTACAAGCTTGCAAGGTACTCCTGCCCAGCTGCTTCAGAAGTTGAGCACATTTCCTGGCAGAATTAGAAGAGCTAGAGGTGTAAGAATGATTCCTAAATCAATGCAAAATACTTGAAGAGGCGATGAAAGCGATCAAACAAAAAGGCCACCTAAATGTGAGAATTTTCCAAATGCACTTTGCTTATTCAGCTAATTTAAAATATCACTGAACTGAGATGAATTCTCTAAATATTTGATCAGAGGAAAGCTACAGGCTCTTTAGACGTTTCTGTGCCACTGTATAATGACTGAACCTACTTATTTGTGAAGAGAGAGACAATACGGTACAGCCGTGAATAACAAACAGCTTTACAAGGCAGCCTCCTATCTGCATGGTTATAAAAAACAAACAGCTTCTTCTCAATAAATTAGTTCTGTGGATTATTGACTTTGTGTTGCCTTTGAGAGGCTTTATATTAGACATTTATTTTTCAACCAAGCACTATACTAAAGAATAATAGCATAAGGTTTTATTGGTCGGGTTAACACTGTGGCGTGAACATCCTTAGAAATGTAAAAAGGCTGGTATGTCTTGAAGCACTTTTTATTCCATTAAACATTACAGGACCAGATTTTCAACAGGACCCAGCTGAGGTTTTTGAAATATTTTTTTGATTAAGTGATATATCTTTGGCATTAAGACCAGTTTTCTGTTGAGATGCCTAAGAGATGTAGATATGTGTCAAATGCACCTAGATACTTAGGTGCAACAATTGCTCCCAGTTATTTATGTAGAATTTGATGCTTAGCTCGTTTTGACAGCCCTGCAGAATGCCCACCAGCGTTGTTAGGCACTTCAATGTCTTCAAAAACCTGACTCACTTTTAGTAGACGTCAGAGGCGTCTTACTAACTTCAGCCAGACAATTCATTCATACTTTTGGGCACAAACGTAAGTACGTAGCTGGAAAGGGTGTCTGTGTTTTTCATTTCAGTTTTGTCATCATTCTCATTAAATATTTGCCTCACTCCTGTGGGTCAAGTGGTAATGTCTTTACATTTTACTCTGTGCATTTAACTCTTTGCAGGATAACATCTAGCTTTGACTATCAGCAAATTGAATTATGCAGTATGCTAAATAATGAACTAATCGGTTTCAAAGGTGTTGAACCGTCCTTAGCTACCTCACTTTTATATGCAAGTGATGTGACTACAAGGCTCCAATTAGCAGCAGAATTGGCACTTTTTATAGTAGCATAAATGAGAGAAAAACTGGATAACCTGGCTCGGTACAAGCTTGCAAGGTACTCCTGCCCAGCTGCTTCAGAAGTTGAGCACATTTCCTGGCAGAATTAGAAGAGCTAGAGGTGTAAGAATGATTCCTAAATCAATGCAAAATACTTGAAGAGGCGATGAAAGCGATCAAACAAAAAGGCCACCTAAATGTGAGAATTTTCCAAATGCACTTTGCTTATTCAGCTAATTTAAAATATCACTGAACTGAGATGAATTCTCTAAATATTTGATCAGAGGAAAGCTACAGGCTCTTTAGACGTTTCTGTGCCACTGTATAATGACTGAAAAACCTACTTATTAGGAATTGGGAAATCTGAATTCTTGTTATTCATTAGATTAATTCATAAAACATAATTTCTGCAACAGATGGCTTGCTTTTCCTTCTCTGAATCTAAGACGTGGAAAGTGACGAAGCCCTGAATACAAAATGTTAATAGTTACCAGGTAAATCCATCATCTCCTCCTAGGATTCAGAATGTACAAACTTTATAACAGTCGATTCTGTTAGCATCATTCTAATTTTTAAAATTATTCTTATTTTTTCCTACGTTCTGTGTCCTATACCTCTGAAGTATTGATCTTTTATGCTCCCTGTAGTTAGCGAGCTTCATCTAAAATTTTCCAAAGCAGGTTCAAATTCTATAAACACCACATGGAGGGATATATTTAAGACAGTAATTGGCGCTTTACAGTGTAACCAAAACTGTTCCTTTTAGTATAATTGCAATTGTATTATAATAATTTATTTGCAGAATTTTATTCCTTTACAGAATATTTTTTTTTTAAAAAACTGAAAATTAAAGAAAAACATTACTAAATGTCACCACTGCTGATGTTTCTCTCATTGTTGTGCTTGGCTCAACTGTTCACTCTCTTTGTAGACAAAATACCTTTTGAGTAAACCGGGAGTTTTGGCTATGGAGGTATGGCTGGATCTGACCTTGTTTATGTTTTTAAGTCTCTCCTTTCAACTGTCTGCCAGTAAATAAAAATTCACTTGGCCAAAGTTTATTTAGACCAGCTTTATTAAGTCAACAAAGTGCAAGCCTGAAAAATCTGTTCCTATGAAGTCAATAGGAATCCATCTCCCTAAGCCTTTTTTTATTCCTGGCACCGGTGATTTTTCTTGACTGATTCATTGGAGGGCACTGGTTTAACTAATTTGTCTTGCATAGGTGTCTTTCCCATTCTGTGTCCTCTCCACTCGTACAAAACAATCTTCTCTTTAAAGGTTATTTCCTAGCCAGATCTGTCATAAAGCTATTATCGTTAATTTGCACTTTAAGAGTTCCTTTCACTCTTTAAAAACTATGAGATACATTCCTGATTTATGGATTACGATGTGACAGCCATCATATGCAAAGAAGATTGTTTATACTTACCACAGATGCCTTTGAAAAAGAGGGATATTTCAACCATATCCCCACTCCATCTGCTTTACATAACTATATTCGATCCCATAGAAAAACATGGCAATCTGTATTTTCCGCTGCTCTCTAGAATTTCTAATAGAATTTTATCCTTGTTCTACAATATTCAGAAATCACATACAGAAATACAGAAAACTTGTAATACTTTATTAAATTCCATAGGCCTTAGGTGTAATTTCCACAGAAACCCACTTTTAATCCTTACATGTAATTTTCCTGCAAGTGGTAATTAAAAGATAGTCCTCAGATTACTGTGAACCTCATTAAATATATTTCAAAATCGTGTTTTTCAGGAAAACATTAAGCAAAGCAAAATATTTTTTTAGAAAAAAATAACAGCACTATTAAGTAAGGTGTGAAGAGTAGAGTGTACCTACCTAAACTAAACAGCACCAGGAATTTGAGACACACAAATTCTCGTAGATCAAACTGCAGGGAACGAAGCTTTGCTACCAGTTCTTGTGCATGGCTCATAAGATTGTTGAGGGTGGCTCCAGCTTGGGATGCTATTACGGAATAATCCACCTGTAAAAGAGAATTGTACTTCTGTCTGGTTGTCACACCTGCAGAACCGCTTTAGAACGTTTCAAGCAATCACATACAACCGGGATACTCCTGGATAAAAGAATCACTCTCAATTTAATGATGTTATCAAGTCAAGATGATTTTATATACAAACCTATTTCAGGAAATGGTATACAGTGAAAATATTATTAAACTATATATCTTAATGGTATGTCACGTCAGCGTGAATGCTGGTTTGTCTGTATTAGCTTTTTTTAGAAGCTTTATATATGACAACTGCTTATGGCATTGGTAGCTGTCCCCCTATCAGTTTGTTCTATTCATTTGGTGTCTTTTTTTCTCACTGTAATTGTGTGATCCTGCACAGAAAGACTGATGAAGTGAGCTTTGCACCTATGCTGGGTGTATTAGTCCGGAGGGACATAACGGTACTCATGGGAAACGCTCCAGTGTCCATAACTTGGCCAGAAACATCTATTCAAGCCCAGAAATGTCGGTGTATTCCCACAGGAAACAGAGGTATTGTGCGGGTGGTTTCTGTTCTCCTTAGCTACACAAAATCCTGGTATTTGTTGGAGTTGGTTCCAACGGGCTTGTTCTGGCGAGTCCTCCCCTGCGAGCGAAGGAGGAGCAGGCAGGTGCGTGACACAGGCCAGCTGCACTTGCATTGTCCCGAGCAGCAACCGCAGGGCACGAAATTACTTTCCCCGGGGCAGAGAAAAAAGCAGGACTGCTCCGGGGGTCTGCTGCCCTTGCTGTGGTGCCCATTTGTTCTCGGGGGAGGCTGACCTGTCTATGAGCTTTCCCAAGTAGCGCTTGTATATAGAGATCCAACAGAAAGCTAGAATTAACAGACCATATTAAAAAAGGTAATAGTCACAAGCAAAGTAAACTTAAAGCCTGTCATAGCTGACACACCCCTGGGCGATCCTTGAATCTCGGGCAACCTCCCCGCTGCTTGCACGCTGAAACTTTTCTGGCTAACGCCGGTCCCATTACGGGGGCGTTTCCATGCAGATGGCCGTACCAGCCTCTGCCACTCTGAAGACGTGCAGGCTTTGTCATGGGATGGTGACCAGCGGAGAAGCGCTCGGGCACTCAGCCTGCGGGACTGCCGTGACGCGAAGGTGAAGCGCAGGGGCTGGGGCCGGGGTGAGCTGGCTCCGAGGCAGGGCTGGCGGCTGCGAGACCGGGCAGCTCCAGCGCAGCGACAGCAGCGTGGAGCAGGGTGCAGCTGGTGTATCGGGAACCGGGGTGATCTGAGCAACTGCCTCAGCTGAAATGCCTGCAGCTCAGCCTTGTTTTCATCAGTGTGTGTTACATATCCCCTACGAGTGCCGCTGTCCCACGAAAACGGCCAGGTGTGTTGCTTGCTCCTGTGTCGAACTGCTCCGGGCCAACTGGCTGAGATCTAAACACGTTATTGACACATTTGAAAAAATTCTTTTCTTGCCTGGCTGCTCTGATATTAAAAAAAGCTTTCTCTTTTAGGAGCCTCCATAACAACAGGGAAATTACTAACCATACATCATGTAAGCACACATAAGTGAAGTCTGGCTCTAAACTAAGACTAAGCACAATGGTAAGTGCACATTTTGGGTTAATGATGTGTTTGAAGCTATCGGTGCTCTAATCCCATCTTTAAGGTCTCCCATGATGAAGTAGTTAATAAAGAACGGCCAGGTATCATCAGAGGAAACAAACCAATACTGCAAAATTTTGTTTCTCCAGGCACTGATCCCTTAAAATCTGTTTTTTAAATAACTGGTACGGAACATACATTTTTGAAATATGTTTTTTTGATTTTAAAACTATTGCATTGATTTTGCTCAAGTATAAACAGCAGTAAAGCAAGAAAAAAACTGAAAGACTTTAAACCTGACAAAATTTCAGCCAGGAAAGATAGATAGATGATTGAAAGGAACTAAAAATGACTTCTCCTAGTGATGACCTTAATATAATCAATAGGTTACTGACTTTTAATGAGACATTTTATTTATATGTACTCTTAGTGCTCCCAAGACATTGATTGAAGCAACTGTACAGGAAAAATGAAGTTACACTTTTTGTATGGATGTTAAGAATAACACTGCTCCAACCCCATAAAGCATTTAAAGCTGTGCTTATGTTTCATTTAAGTCAACAGATTATGCTTAAGTATCCTGTGAGGTAGGTTTTATTGCTCTCTTTTACACCTGGGAAAACTGAAGTAGTGACATTAAATTGCTTACTCGGGGCCAAAGAAATCTGTGACGAAACTAGGATCTAGTCTTTGGAAATCCCAGCCAAACCATCTTTCATAAACTAGTTTCTAGTTCATCTGTTATTTTTCTCTCTCTATATATATACACACATATACATATTTCTTTTTATATAAGTATATATACTTATATAAATAATAAGGTAAAAAAAAGTAACATACCTCAAATACTTTTTACTCGAACAGCAGTTTAATATAGTGACACGATTCAGCTACTTCATATTGAGAAACTGGTCACATACAAATATCAACTTTCACAACTTAATTTCCCTTTTGTAATTTTCAAGGGGGGAAAAAGCTCAAAATCCCTCACTGAGGTTCCAGTTTGGGGGGGAAATATGCTATTCGCTTCAAAATAAGAAGTTAAGATGTCTGGATGTCAAGAATATCAGTGGCCTTAGTGCAGCGATTATGCCATAATGGAAAAACCCAGTAGATGCCTGGATCTCCCACCATCCCTCTACTGGAGAGCTCTCAGGCAACCTGCTACTCTTTCAGGTGCATTTAGTATTTGCAGCACCAGCAAATTTGTCTGGGAGGCAAGTCCTCATCTGCCACTCACCAAGAGCAGGCTGTATTAAATTTTTATATTTATTGACATTTCATTACCATAATTGACTGCAGTTGGTTCTCTAGTAGAAGGCACAGGGCTGCCTCCTAAGCAGGAGAATTGGTCCCTTGAGTAGGATTTGCAATTAAAAACAACGCAGAATGGATTTTTTTTTATTGTGTAAATATGATGAGTTGAATTTTCAGCTTTAACTAGAGAATACTGGGTGTGCAGAAGGCTTTTTTCAAGAGTGAGCAAAATTATGAGTCAGTGGAAAGACGACCCCCAAAGGTGTCAATCAGTTTATACAAAATCAACTGTGCATGAAAAAGCCTCCGTTAATGTCTATTCTGAAAAAGCGGTCACATTAAAGAGCATGCTGTCCTGCTTGCTTGGTCCTGTACGAAGAAATTGATACTAAAAGGTGTATTAATTCTTTTACCTTCCAATTCATGATGAAAAACGCTTTTAAAAGACAAAGAATAAAACAGCCTGGACCTTGAGCAAAATGCTTAATTGCATATGGAAGTCTTAGCATTTACTTTATATTGTACCATTAATTTCATTTGGTAAAATCAAATCCACAACTGAAATAAATTATTCTTGCTTCCCAATTAATAGTATTACATTTCACAGTTGATTTTGACATTGAAGATGGTATGTTGACTGGCATTTTTGAAAACAGCAGCTTTGGTGAAGCTTCCACATTACCTAGTTCAGAAGTAAAATGTTGGGCATAAAGTTACAGCTGCACAGACAAATGGCGGCGTGAATTCCTCATGTACCGGTGCACAGTGCTATCTTGCATGATGAATGTAGTAATGATGAAGAAGTAATGATAGAGGCTTAATTGGGTTAGCTCGGTACCAAAGCACTGCCGACAGAACAGCACTGAATAATTTACGCTGCTGCCTGTTCTTGCCATTCTGGTGCTTAAACGGGCATGTTTAAGGTTAGCATGGACATCCCTATGTATGCTATACTGCAGGCCGTGCTGTAGTATACTGTTTGCTAACTGAAGTGCTTAAATCTAAAATTAGATACTTAAAACCTCTGCTCTGCTGCCACCTAACTTTGTGCTTAAAGTCCTCACTGCCTTTAGGCATGGCCAGGACTGTCCAAGTCATGACAGTGATAAGTAACTCTGCGTCCAGCTCACGCTACAGCTCTTTTTAGATTTATGGACTATGTGGTTTTCATCTACCTAAGGCAGCAAAAATAGCCAAGGTGGGATTTGGTAGCGACCAAGATATGGGAAATCTGGGGTCAAATCTCCAGTCCAAAGAATGCATGAAATAAATAAGGCTATAGCCTGGCAACTGGGGCATCTTTCTGAAAGTGAGAGATAGCAAGTTTCTTCAGGTAAACCTGGCACATCTTGTGGATATCTTCTGATCACGAGTATTGGGCAGAAAGGGGGGGACCTTGGCTTGGTTTGGAGAGGAAGGATTTGCTTAGTGCTTCTCTAGGAGGGAACTTCCAGCTGGGAACCCCAAGTAGAAAAATGTGCATAAGTCCCTTGGACAGGCAGCATTTGTGTCACACCTCCCTCCCCAGCATTTCTCAAGGCTACCTCTTAGAGTCACCACCTAGTTGGGTGCTGGCCTTCCCTGCTCCCTGCGTTGCAGAGGTAAGGGCTGGGCGGATGAGGCCGCAGGCTCTGCGAGAGGGCAGGGCAGTACAGAGGCACTAGCAGCAAAGGAAAAGAAGTAAAAAAGCTGATAGTATTAGTAAGAGGGTCATAACTGAAATGGGACCGCAGAGAGACACGGCAATACTACGTATTTTTTCTAAATCCTTTTCTTGATACAGTTGAGAGTAACTTAAAAGTCCAAATCCCTTTAATGTCAGCGAAAGCAAGTTAGGCCAGTGTGGAATGTTTATGAAAATTCTACTTTAAAACAATACGTCATGAGTTCAGCAGCATTTAGACATTCAGCTATCAAATAACTTCTCAACTGATAGAGAGGTAAGAGAGATGGAAGTGACTAATTCTGCATGTTTTTTCTCACATGAAGGTCTCATTTAACACAGTGAGATATTGTTCGAGGCAGAACAAAAGACAAACGTTTTTTACAACATGAAACTATACCCTGGGCTAAATAAATGGTGAGGCTGAAGGCCAGAAATGCAGGGAGCACTTGCGCTTTTTTGTTTTGCAAATGATTTATCATGGTAATGAATGATTCT